AATTTTCCAACTGTCAGTCCAATGCATTAATTGCATATAATATACGAGTATTAAGTCGGTGGCAAATGCAAACATGGAAACTCGCCCGAGCGAAAGTCGGAGAAAGCGAGGCAATGCGCGACAGAGAGAAAGAGACAGAAACGGAGGATGTGACAATATCCGGCGCCCCGGCGTCCGCCAAACTGATAACGCCAAGGCATGTTTATGCCCGCATTTATAATACATCTGGGGGTTATCCTACAACCCCTTCTGCTGCTGCTACTGTTGCTGCAGCCCGAAAGAGAGAGAGCGGGCGAAGCCAATATAAGCTCATCTCTCATGCCGATTAATTGCTCTCCAGCCACCCTGGTGAGTGTATACAGCAGAGCGTATATTTGCTTCAAAAGCGAATCAGAGCAACTACCACGCAAACCCGCGCTCAGAAAGAAAGTCATTTTTCTAGCACGTTTCAAACCGGGCTGGCTGGTGGTGGTGGCCGAAAAAATGAAAGATTAGAATGCGGCGGTGGCGGCGGCAGCAGCTTGCGGAAATATGAGAGCAGTCCTCTGTAGCGCCATCACGCTGGATCGTCGCAATAATCCGTGATGTATTTTTATTGGCTGGACTGCGATCCTGTGCGCGCACGGAGAGACTGTACGCGAGTGTATGTATGTGCTATAAGTGTGTATCTGTGTGTGTATTGCCCTGTGCGCCTGCAAAGAGGAGCACAGCAGCAGCGGCAGCGGCAGCAGTAGCAATTCTACACTGGATTGTAAATCCTCGCGTAATCTCCGTTAGATTTATAGCCCTTCAGAGTTGGAAATTCAGCACTTTTCCGAGACCTCTGAGATAAAAGACGAAGAGAGAGAAAGAGAGAAAAAGGCGGGTACATGGCGAGGATCGCACGCACGAGTGTGTATACGTGTGCGCTGCAGAATGAGAGAAACGAAGAGAGCTAGAAAGAGAGAGAGGTAGACTAGTTCTGGGAGTCGGAGCGCCGAATGGTGCGCATGTATAAGTACGCAAGTACGTTGCTTGACGAATTTTCCCTCGAGCAGCTTGTAGGTACGAGGTCGCTATATAGTCGAGCTTTGCCGAGCAGCAGCAGCAGCAGCCGAGTCGTCATCATTTCCATATCCGAGGACTTTTAGGATCGATTCCGCTTAAACGCTTTAGAAGTTTCTCCTCGCTCGCGCGCGCCCAAGCTCGAGCAAAGCCCGAGCAAGCGTCGGTGGTCTGATTTATCGAGCAAAGTTTGAATTTCGTCATCGATCCTCGACTGTCTCGCGGCGCTCGTTTCTGCGCGCGAGCGTAATATCGGAGGAGAGCAAAAAAAAATCCCTGATATGCGACTTCGCGCGCAGCAAGAGGAGAAACTGCGCGTAGGAGCCTTGCAAAACACGTATTTTCGTCTGAAAAGCAAGCTTTTTGCTGCTTTCGAATTGTACCGAATACGTCGAGATTTTCGAATATGATTAATGGCTAATTGTTCAAGGATTTTTTTCAATCTTTTTTTTTACAAAGCTCGTACCAACGATTAACTATCGCAACGGCAGTCACGGCGGGCGCTAGTCGCTTGTCTATCTCATTGTTTTTCATGTCGGTCCAGCAGTGCGTGCGCGACATTTGTACACGTACACACGCGATGCTGCATACGCCACAAAAATTACGTAATAACTATAAGGATAATAACAATGTCCTTCGGCATGACGCCACACCCTGTTATTGTCCTATTATTACGCCGGGCGCGTCAAAAGATCGTGTCGAAGATATTACCGATGAATGGAAAGTTTTCTTTACATCCGCGATGCGGATTTTTGCCTGCACCAGCAAGATTTACATTGATGCATTCTCACACGTACCAACAAATTAGCGAAATATCGTAGGTACGGTCTGTGCGTCAACTCGCATACACGTCGTTAGAATCCACAATAAAACGAGTTCATATCTTTGAAACTCGCGATGCTCGATGATTCATGGGAGAAATATATATATATATATGTGCTCTACCGCACCCCCTTGTCGAAATTATGCTGTTTTTTCAGCTAGGGAGAACTTCCACGGCTGTTTTTGTGCCTTGTAGGTGAAGAAACTCGAGGAGAGTCGCGAAACATTCGCAGCAGAGACTCTACGTATACAAACAATATATGTGCAATAATTTTAAAAAATACGTATTTTATGACTTGATTTACATGGATGATCGCTGGTAAAATTATCTAAACAATTTTAACATTTTCTTTAAAATAACAAGCAATAGGGATGAAAAATCGATTTATTTTTTACCATTTACAAGTTTCAGAATTTTCAAGTATATTTGAACGATTCTAAGAATGAATAAATGAAAGCAGCAAGCTGAAAAGATCTAATTCAACTGTCAACGACCTGTGTAAGCTGGGACACGAAATATGCATTTTTTGATAATTGTCTCGGGTATAGCTAAGTTTGCGTCGGACATTATATAGATATAAAAAATAAAGAGAGAGAGAAGAGAAGAGAGAAGAGAGAGAGAGGAGGCTGGCGCGCGAGAGTACACGTACGTCCCCGCAGACGTTCATCGGCTGATGTATGACTCCCTCGCGCCTGGCCTACGTAGCGCATAACTTTTATCTCTTACCTCACGAGATGTTCCCTCTCTTTCTCTTTGCTGCGATACTCGTGCTGCGCGAGCGCGCGTATATACGTGCGTTCGTATGCGCGCGCTCAAAAGGGAGAGAGAAAAGATCGAGGACGATATTACTACAAAGTATGTATACGGCTCTTCTCTCTTTCTCGCTCGCTCGCTCGAAACATTCGTACGTATATACATATATTGCACTCGTGGTGTGTGTGTGTACGCAAGGGAAGGTATACGCAGAGTACGCCCCTTTCTCGGTGTAGCGAGATGTAGCGTCGGCGGCGGCGGCGGCAGCATCCAGGCTCTTTCCATCTCGCGCGAATAAACAAGCAAGTGGTTAACGCGGCCATTTCACGCTTCGAGAGGCATCTTCCTACTTGCATATACTCTGTTTTCTCGTAGGTGTATACGCGCGAGCGACTCGTATATACGCGGCCCCGCTGCAAGGAAAAGCGCCTCGTTCGAATTCTAACCGAATTCCCGTTCTCCCTTTCTCGCAGCTCTAACCGCGCCTCGACGTATACCCATATACACAGGCTTGCAAGCTCGAGACGAGCGTTAAGTGTTTGAAAGCGAGCGAGGACGTATGCGCGATACAACTGCAGGCGTGCACACATTGGCAAGGAGAAATTTTTTCCGACAAAGCTCGATCTTTTTCCCCAACGTCTCTCGTGGACGATGAATTGAAAATAAAGACACGAGAGGGAGGATTTATTTATCCGGCGTCGGTTCGATTTAGGATGTGTTTTAAAAAACTCAGTCGACGGCTGCAGCTTGAGTCAAAGCGCAGCAGTAGATAGCATAAGCTCCCCGGCAGCGCACAGATAATCCCTTTATTTCGCTCGCGCCGCGCGTATACGTTGCTGCCCGGTTCAAGAGAGAGAGAGAGAGAGAGAGAAAGCACGGAGCGCGGAGAGCACATCCACAGAGAGCTTGCGAGCTTATAGAGCGCACGAGACCGAGGGACACGTTAAGGGGAAATAAACGATTTTTGGTAGACCGTTTACACGGATCAACGCTTGCTCTTCAAGGCTGCCTGCTGCTGCTACTGCTGCTATTCTATTCTATACACACAGGCTTCGTTGTGCAGATGCTTAGCTCGGTCATTTCACGCTCCAAGAGGCGCAACTCTCTCTCTCTCTCTCTTCCAGCGATGCTGACATTTTTCCCTTTCTACATAGTGGCAACTGAAAGTAACTTTTCAATACTCGCTTCAGTTATATTCGTTGTGAATAAAAAAATTTTGTCCATAATGAACTAGTGAAAAATTTAAACAGCCCTTAAAGTTCATCTGTCCATGCGACACAATGTACTGAGTACCATAATTCGCTTATCTTTCCATCTATTTAGCGGTAATATTCGAGTAACTTGGAATTTTCGCGTCACATAGAGCAGCGACACATTAGTTCAGTATGAAAAGAACAATTTGTTATTTGAAACATGTGTGCACTCGCATTTATATACACTGTCTGTGCAGAGGCGGCAGGTTCGAACAGGGCGGCAACCACAACACATATACTGTCCTCTCGCAAGCTAGTCATGCGATACTTCACCTACCCTCTTCTCTCACGCACGTATGAACACATACACACACACACACACATATACAAAGAACCGTACCCTACCCCCCGTTGAAGAACCAATGTTTATTGATCAGACCCTAAAGGCAAATACGGACGATCGCCACTTCTGCTACTGACGCCGCGTCGCGCGATCTAACTCTACATATGAACGGCAAAAAAAGAGGAGTATAATAGCTGACGCGAAAAATCATGGCTTGTGCTGTGACAGCAGCTGTTCTGCCACGTAACAAAGCTTTGTTTTTTCTAACTGGAAGCTCTGGAGAGTAAGGGATGGAAAGAAATGTATATAGAATCTCCCTTTACGAAAAGAAAGAATTTTTCCATCGTCTTCGGTGGCGCGAGCGGCGTATACATTATTCCGAGCTTTCATTTTTTCGTCGATTTGCAAAAGTATAGCATTGAAGGGAGAGAAAGAGAAAAAGAGAAAAGTAAGTTTTTCTTTTTCCAAGGAATTATTGCCGGCAAGTCAAAAGAATAATATAATATTGTATTATATAAAAACGAGAACTACAATGCCACTACTCCGGCGCAGTACGGTGTACGCATATATATATACGTGTACCTAGTAACAGTAGCAAAGAAAAAACCGATAAATTTTCATTTGCCTCGGGCTAGAGATTAAAGTAACATTAAGCGCGTTTCGAAAAAGATAAAGTTTCGTGCTCGCGCTGGACAGCTTTTGCCGTATATGACGCAAGAGGATTTTTGTAAAGGACTACGGGCCAAGAGAAAAATGATGGAACGGACTTGGGGTACTATATAACATATACTTTTGGTGTCTGTGTGTTTGCAGGTTAAACAAAAAAAAAATAAGCGAAACTCACCTTGCAACCAGGTCCAATGCGGCTTAGCCATATCTTCCTTACCTGCAACAAACAAGAAATTCATGAGTATACATTTGCGAATTGAGCAATTTTTACGAAACGAAATTAAAGGATATGAACAAGCGCCGGCGAAGGAAATATCGATACCAGAAACATTTATACTCGATAATTCAACGATTTCTGATCAGCACGGGCGATAGCACGGTATACGGAGTAGCAAAAAATTGCAGCCACGGCGCGCGCGCGCGCACGTGCTGCGTATTGAACGATATTTAATTCCAGATTTACGAGTGGTCGCAAATATTTGTTTTTTATTAGAGAGGAAGGAGCGAGCAAAAGAGAAAGAGAGAGAGAGAGGGAGAGAGAACTGGAACTTGTGATTTTTATTGCGCGTTAAATCGCCGCTCTCTACTCTATGCACAGCATCGCATAGATCAAAGCTTGTGAGGTAAAGCTAGAGTACGCCGGCAGCGCGAAATATTGGAAATCGCCCCCGGTACCGAGTCGAGCGCCATCGTTGAATGTTTAATCTCTTCTCTCGCTCTCTCTCTCTCTCTCTCTCTCTCTTTCTCTCTGCGTGCATACATGCATACATACATGTAGGCATAAACTACCATAGTCCCTCGAGATTGGCTCTCGGTCATTACAGGGGGTAGCTGCAATCTTAAAAATGACGTTGTTATCAAAATCGCTGTTCATCGATACACAATTCGTGTGCCGTCCATAATTCCTGATACGTTCAAAAAGATAATTACATACGCATAGAACAACCATCGTAATTCTCTTTTTTTTTCTTCGAGTAAATTTAATGAGCAAGGGAAAAAAGGAGAAAGTTTTTCCAAGCCGAGACTAGCGGAAAACAATGCGATCACAGGACTCTGCAAAGAGGGAGAGAGAGAGAGAGAAAAAAGAGCACACGATATCGCTGGGCAATTAGCGCTTTCCGTGAATTCATCAACATAAAACGTTTCGCTCGTTAGCTTTTTCTGTTAATATACATGATAAACGCACTATATGTGCGTACAAAAACGTCGCCGGTACACATCGCTTGAAGCAGCTAAAGTCTCCTTTTTTTTGACCCGGTAAATAATTTGCGTGATGCATTCGTTATTATATCGCTCTTACGAGCTACAAGCTACGCGTACGTATAATGAAGTCTTTGGCGTCGAGGCTCGAAAATGGGCACGAGGCTCTTATTACATAAGCGAGGCCGGCGCCGATAAAGCTCGTCTTTATATTCACGTTAAGCGAGATAATGCGCGCGAGAAAAGCTCGAGCTTACGGCACTGCATCGGTGGGTTATAACTCCTGCTTGGCTGATAATTAGTGCATCCATCAGACGCAGTGTGCGCCGCGCACCACCAGCAGCAGCAGTCTAATGCCGATCGTACATTATCGTTATCACTCTTACTGCACGTCTCTGCGAGCTATATACGTGTCTGCTCTCGTGCTCGAGCGTGGGTGCAGCTGGGTGTACACATTTTCTACTAATACAGCTGCATTATGCCGGTGCGCTACTGCTAGCGTGTAGACACCCTCTCTAGCTCGGTGGCAAAATTTCACTCCGCGCATGCAGTGTGCTATACCTACTACTCGCCAGCTCCCGCCGTACATTATGCTCTCGCGCTGCAGCCTGATATCGATATGCCGTAGATCAGGCCCATAATCTAATAACCGCAGTCATCCGACGACATCGAATACAGCCTCGTATAACATCGCTCTCGTATCATCGATCAGACGGCCGATCCGCACATCGTGATGCTGCAGATTTTACGCGACGTTGATTTCCGCGTATTATATAGTCGTGCATTTGAAATCTGTATGTGTAATGCGAAAACCAACGCGCGCGCGCGCGCGCCCCCCTTGATTTATGGCCGACCAAGGGAGGGAAAGAGAATTTGATGTATTTACATAGACGAAAGCGTGAATCCTCGATACTCGCTCGTTTATGTTAATTTTGTCCGCGATTTCGATAGTTTTCGCGAGCAGACTGCACTCGACGTGTCGCTATAACAGTGGTCTATTGAAGAATGATGCGGTCCTTGTGACGTCGCATTTTAATATCGAAATTATCGACGCGTACGATGCGCAACGCGTGATGTACGCTCAAAATTGCGACAATAATAGATTTTTGTCGACGCTATCCTACGCACGTGGACATTTTAATTTAGCTGGGAAATTTATTCGCTTCTCTCGGCTAGATACACAATAATACAAGATTTACACGATGGCAGATAAGAGAGCGCCGAGTAGAGCATTTATGTGTATTTAAGGTCGGTACGATCGAGCTGTATGCACATACGCGCGTTAAAAAAGCAACACTCGTGTGTGAGTGCAGCTAACGCGTATACGCAGCGAGTGCGCTGCAGCGCGTATAATGAAACTGGCAGTAAAATGCGTTAGCGCCACGCGATAAAATGAGGAGTATTTATCTGATTGCTCGCTGCTACACGCGTACGCGAGCTGTGCATATACATACGCATACACACAAACATGTACGTGCAAATGCAGGTAGATCATGCGCGCGAACGGCCACTATTATCGAGAATATTCGGACTTTCTAGTGGGAACTCGCTTTACACAGATGTCGACACGAAGGAACAGCCTCGGCCTCTTGACAGAATTACGCTCTAGGGTCATAATCGCGCGGACTACGTTCTCGGGGTTTTGAGCCTCACATTAGAGCCTCGTGCGTACATGCTGGTACGAGTATAAAATGCACTCGGTACGTGTAAGCGTGTATATCTGTGTGCGCAAGTGTGAGTATAAATATACATTTCCCATAGGCTCTCGTTCTTTCCTCTTGCGCAGGTACATCTACTTATGCATGTTCTCGATGTTATCTCGGCGCATGCACAAAGAACTAACTGCAGGACGCGCAATGCCGCGGAGAGGTGTGCGCACAACCGGCCAAATACAAGCGAGAAATGAGAATTATAAGTATTACATGTATTCGCGTTTCAGGATGAAAGTAAAACTAGATTCCAGAACAGGTACGCGTAGGAATTTTTCTCCAGTAAATTACTTTAATCATTTTTTTTTTTTTTTAATTTAAAAAATCAATCGCAATTTTAAAATGTTTTTAAAGTTGGCAAAGAGCAACGAAACGTAGTATTTAAACAAAAGAGCAAGATAGAAAGTACATCCAAGGCAAAGCATGCAGAGAGAGCGAGTCGAGCTAGGACTATTTGTCTTAAAATCCGCCCACAGGCACGCGTGCGCGCGCTACATCGAGCACAGACAGTAAACAATCGTGGGTAGGTTTAGAGGTAAGCGTACACAGTGATAGTAGTGGGAGGAAGGTACACATACAAACGTACACAAACATACAGAGAGAGGGAGGAGGGAAAGAGAAAGAGAGAGAGAGGATCAGAGCAGAGAGGGTTGAGCTCGTGCGCGTGTATTAGAGCATAGCGAGCTGGGAGCGCTGATATAGAACTACTAAACAGGCCGTACATCAGTCGGGTTAGTTATGGCTGTGCGACCCTCGGTACCCACTACTACTACCACTACTGCTACTACTACTGCTGCTGCTGCTGCTGCTGCTGGCTCGAGCGATTGCAGAGCTTGCAAGCTTCGCAGCTCGTACATATAGTCAGCCAGCCAGCTTTCTCCCGTTGTGTGTGTGTGTGTGTATACTCAGGCGTGCACATGCACACACATAGACACCGAGAGCTTTGAAGCAATTCCCACCGGTGTTCTGCATCATTTGCCGGCCCGCGGCCGAACGCGCTTTGCGCTCTCTCTCTCCCTCTCTCTCCTCCTCCTCTTGCTCCTCTTTCTATGTGTATACAATAGCGATGCATTGCCAGCTCACATGCGCTATCGGCTCAACAACAACAACAGCGCCATCGAGCTTCTACTAAGCCGCAACCCTGTGCTTTTCCTCTACCCTGCAATACTGATTTTTCATTCAATCGATCAATTCAATGACCCAAGTATGTTATTTCTTACCATCGCGTTTAATGCAATGCCCTTCTAATTGGATATTTTTTATAATTAAATTTTTCGCAGCACGTTGCGTCGCATTAATATATAAAATCTACAGTTAAACTTTTTTGATTGTTTAGAAAAATGCTGAGTAGGTGCAACGTATACAGTGCTTTGAGAACAGGGAGTAAACGCAAAAATAAAAGAGAAACCGATTCAAGTGTTTCGTGCATAAACCGAGCAAGCGCGCGATGCAACACGGCGAAACCCTGCGTGACGTATCGCAAATGAAGCAGCTCGCGCTAGACCAGTGGCAGGCCTGGGCATGTGTGCATGTGTGCATGTGTGTGTGTGTGTTCGAGTGCCAGCGCACCCTCGCGTATGTACACACTCATATACGCATTACACATGGCCGTTGGAGCAGACTCGGAGCCTCCACGCACGCGGCAATGATGTTTAATTTCGCATGCACGTATCGCGCACGGCACAGTGCCCGCGCCACCGTACACCCAGAGAGAGAGATAGGCGCAAGAGTCAGCGACGACGATTACGCGCCTCCCTTATACACCGAGCCCACCCAATTGCTCGACGCTGCTACTCTGTATACATGTATGTAGCGACTTAATGCGCACGCATACACATGCAGCGACCAACACAGCGTTGGCGAGGTAAATTTTGCTGGGGGATCCCTCTGCAGGGAAGCAAGAGCTGAAGGAGCTTTGCGATGTCGTGTACACCTACGCGATCGAGACAGTGCAGTGGCTGTTGTACGACATAAAACAGCGAGCAGCATCGGTGGCGCAACAACGACACAGCAGCTATAATGAACCCACGCGACCGAGAGAGACGCGCGAGCTCACTGAGAGGGAGCTATTCAGAAAGAAGAGCTTGTTTATTTAATGGGAAAATTCAGCGGGCTGATCCCATAAACTTTTCTTACTCAAAGAGAAGCCAACGAACGGGGGAATATAGCTCACCGGAGCTGTTGCTACTGCTCCTGTCCAACGATTTATGCTATTGGTTTACTCGCTCTGACGGATAGCAATGCCATGGCACTACATAGTGTCAGGTTCGACCCCCTCTCTGTCTCTCTCTCTCTCTCTCTTTCTAGC